CTCCAGGCTCCGAGGCTGTGTGATGGTGGGAACAAGACGAGCCCCGAGACTCTGTCATTTCCCAGTCACCAGCACTCAACGGGCTGCGGAAGGTCGGTGCTGGTCCTGAGGGGTGATGGGCAGGTCCTCTCATTGCTGGCCTGACCATCCCTCCCATAGCGTCCATGTGGCGCGGTCTCTCTGCCCGGCCCCACCCGGTGCAGCCCACACCACACGCATACCTTCATGTGGTCAAAGGCAATGCCGACTTTCTCGTTGAAGTCAGGGCTGAAGAGGGGGATCTTGGCGTAGCGCTGGCTGAAGTGGTTCAGCATGATGAACCCGGCGTTCATGCGCATCCCCACGCCGATCGCCTGCGAGGTGGTGCTGCAAACAGAGGGTTGGAGGGTCGCATCCGGCTGAAGCGCCCCCTTGGGCCTGCCCCTGCCCCCCAACCCACCATATTCCCTGACGTGGCTCACAGGTGATTCCAGCCTGTTTCTAGCTCTTTCTAAAGCTGGGCTGCCTCAGAGCCTTGCCTAGAGCTCTGCAGAGATAAAGCCGAAGGGCCCAAAGCCAACCACCTCCCCATCACAGCCCACAGCCCCTGGTGGGACGCAGGCAGGTCTTTCTCAGCAGGGCTGCCGTGAGGCTGAGCAGTCACAGGGAGGGGAGAGAAGAGGAGGGAGTAGGTGACAGGCCGAAGCGTTCGCAGCTACCTGTGTGTCTTTTCCACAGCTTCCACCTCCAGACCGTCTTCCAGCGTGGCCTCGTGAATCAGGAGGGTGGCATCTTTCCCTAAAGGAAGCATGGGCGTGGGGCAGGGCCCTGTGCTAGACAGGCACTCGGCCCCGGATTCCTGCACACACTCCATCCCCTGACCCTGTGCCCTATGTGGATGCTAGGATGATCACCAAGCTGTTAGCTGCCTCTACTCACCCATCTGGACCAGAGCCTCGCAGGGCATGGTGTCCCCTGAGTAGACCAGCTTCCAGCCGGACGTATGGACCAGCGCACAGCCATAAGCATGCTTGCAGTGCCGGACCTGGCAGACCTGAAACTGGAGGGCAGGGCAGGGCATGGCTGCAGCGGTGCCCCCCCATCGCCAGACGCCCCCCGCCCCCTGCGGCCGCCCCGTACCTCCTCCAGATCACAGGCTCTCAGCAGGGAGCCAATCCAGCTCTCAAGTGTGGGGCTGGAGACCTCGGCTCCTTTCTGAAGGCATTTGGCAGGGATCACACTGTGAGAAAGAAAACATTAAAACAAATTTAACTTGAATCAAAGTTTAAGAATTTGGGAAGCCCCACAATCATTATAAAGAAACACAATTTAAATCACAGTGAGACTGAGAAAGGTCGTCAATTAGAACAAACCAAACCCCAGGCCACCTAGAAACCTACCGGGTGAGCTGCCCACAGCGAAGGCATTGCAGGCCCTGCCCAAGCGGCCATGGCTGGGCCCAGGCAGACGGACTCCTTCCCACGAGGTGGGGATAGGGCCAACTCCCACCATGCATCCGCTGGCGGGGCAGTCTCTGCGCTCACAACTCGGGCACGTGGCCCTGCAACTGTTTTATCAAGAGGTGTTGGCAAAAGTCTAGAAACTAGAACGTAGCTGAAATGAGGCTGCGAGGAAACGCAGCCAAGAAGACAGACATCTAAGTGAAGCCAGCTAGTGGTTTTGCCCTGAGTCAAAGCTTTCTCCCTGCTTCTGCCACTGGGCCACATCAGGGGAAGGTTGCGGGGGTATCCTGACCTGCCCCAGGTCAGCCCTGAGCTGTGGAGGGGAGGCGACAGCCTCGGGGCGGGCTGCGGGGAGCTCACCTGACGTGGTGCAGGAGCGGCTGGCACTGGTTGTGGTACTGCTGGAGCCAGGCCCGGAGCTGGGTTGGGGCAACCACCAGCAAAGGGTGGAAGGGCTTTCCCAGCGATGCCTGGAACAACAAAGTCAGAGCTGAACCAAAGGCAGGCATCGCAGGAGGCCTAGGTGTAACCCAAGCAAACCCAAAGTGGCAGTAGGTCAAGCGCCGCACTCACCAAAGCGCGTTCTCTCTGCAGCAGGATATTTAACAAGCCCTGGAAGGGGAAAGGAGATGCAGATGAGACGAGACGCCAGCAACCTCGGCCCGGGTTGGGGTCCTCGCCCTCATCTCGCACGAGCCCCTCGCCCTCTATTGGCCACCAGCCTCTAACACTGCTGTTGCTGGGAGCCAGCACATGCTGACCCAAGACAGAGCAGTGGCTGGAGACCCAGCTGCCCCAGGAGGCCAAGCCCCACCCCTCTGGCTGCAGTTTCCTCTGCAGGCATGTGGGAAGGCAGACCCCTGCTGTGACATGACAGCAGGCGAACAGACCAGCATCCTTATGGGCAGAATTACTGAGCTGGGTTCTGTGAACGACCGTTACCTCGCAAGAGGCGAAGAGCCAGGGAGGTGGGCAAGTTTGGGATGGAGGAGAGCAAGGCCACAGCTGCCTCAGGTGAGGCTCCGGGGTCCTGCCCAGCACTCACCGTATGGTGATCTGCGTGCAGGTGGGACACGAACACAGCAGCAAGGTTGCCCAAGACCCTGTCCACGTCGTCGCCATAGTGACGACACAGCTGCCCAAACGTACCTTCCCCACAGTCCAGCAGCAGGGACTTGTCGGAGCTACAGAGAAAAAAGTGAGATGTTCATGGCTGAGGAGAGGCCTCTCACGGCTCAGAGGCCTGTGACCTCAGAGAAGAGTCAAGCAGCGAATGCACTCTATCCCCCATAACCTCGCGTCTGCTTCTCTGAGGACCTTGTACAAACAGGAACGCAACTGTAATGTCCATCCTCCTTATATAGAACTATCCACGGAACCCCAGAACCCTTTAATGAAGTAGTAAGTGTCCTAGCTGGGTAGCTCAGTGGACTGGAGCGTCGTCCTGTGAATCAAAGGTTGTGGGTTTGATTCCCAGTCCGGGCACAGACCTAGGCTGTGGGTTGAATCCCTAGTTGGGGTGCATACAAGAGGTAACCAATCAATGTTTCTCTCTCACATCGCCGTTTCTCTCTTTCTCTAAAATCAATAAACATATCCTTGGGTGAGGATTACTAGTAAAAGAATAAAGAATATAGAAAGTAGGATTAAAAATGGCAGCAGAGTAAGTGGATGCTGCATGGACATGCTCCCAGGAACAAGCTGGAATTACAACTAAAATACAGAAAAACTTCCTGAATAATCATTGGAAAACTCGCAGGAGAGAACCCTGATACCCAAGGACTGAAAGTGGAGACCACATAGAGGCTGGTAGGAGAGGCAGAGGCGTGGAAGGGCTGGCTGCGCGCCCACAGACCACAACTGGAGTCCTGGAGAGATATCTCAGCTGTGGGGGCTGCCACTGAGAACTCAGGGATCTAATCCCTGAGGTGGGCACCCCAGCAGAGAGCACCAGAACTGAGGAGGGTACCCATGTAACATCTAGCTGTGAAAAGCAGTGGGGTGCTGTCTGCCAGAGAGTGGCAGCTGAAACTTCAGGCACCCTCTTAAAGGACCAGCACACAAAATTCCCTATGGAGCCACCCACCTTGTGCTCTGGCAGAGGGAGGGTGAAGTGGACTGGAGCTGTGAGAACAGAATCCAGGACTAGGGACTTGGGGGATAGAGCTCAGAAGGCAGACACCCCAAGTTTCCTGGGCTGAGCCATTCCCTCACACAGCAGAAGACATCTTTCCCACATAGACATCTGCCTGACCATGTTGACACACCCTACTGGAAAACACCTTGCCCTGAGGCCACGTAAGAGATTAAAAGTAACAATTTGCCTCCAGGCAGAAGCAACTGCCCCACTCTGTTGAAAAAACTCTTGCCACACCTGAAGACGATTGCCTGGGGGCAATTCAAGTCGGAATCCTACCAGTCTGTAGACAGAGGAGGTCTCTAGAGGCTTTGAGTCTTTGCCTGATCAAATTAGTCAGAAACAGCCTTTAACACTGTCCTGCACTAGAGATTAAGAAGTGTAGAGGATGTACCTAAAACAGAGTCACAAACCCAAACAGACAACCAAAATGAGGAAACAAAGAAACAACCCCCAAATGAAAGAACTAGAGAATTCTCCAGAAAAAGAGATAAGTAAAGTAGACATAAGAAATTTATCTAAAATAGAGTTCAGAGTAAAGATGGTAAAGATGCTCAATAGCATGAAAAAAGATATAGTAACTATGGGAAAAAAACAGTCTGAAATAAAGAATGACATAACACAAATAAAGAACACATTGGAAGGAATACACAGCAGATTAGGGGAAGGTGAGGATCAAATCAGTGAATTAGAAGACAGAGTTGAAAATATCACTCAATTAGAGAACCAAAAAGAAAAAAAACAATTAAAAATCAGGACAGCTTAAGGAAGCTGGGGGACAACATGAAATGTAACAATATTAGAATAGCAGGTGTGCCAGAAGAGGCAGAAAGGGAGAAAGGAATAGAGAAGGTGTTTGAAGAAATAATGGCAGAAAACTTCCCTAACCTGGTAAAGGAAAAAGTCACACAAGTCCAAGAGGCACAGAGAACCCCCAGCAAGAAGAACCCGAACAGGCCTATGCCCAGACACATCATAATTAAAATGCAAAGAATTAAAGACAAAGAATCTTAAAGGCAGCAAGAGAAAAGAAACTGTTATCTACAAAGAAGTTCCCATAAGGCTGACACCTGATTTCTCATCAGAAATTCTACAGGCCAGAAGGGAATGGCATGAAGTACTCAAGGTAATGGAAAGAAAGGATCTGAAACCAAGATTACTATATCTACCAAGGCTATCATTCAAAATAGTCAAATAAAGAGCTTCCCAGACAAAAGAAGGCTAAAGGAGTACATCATCACCAAGTCAGCATTACAAGAAATGGTAAAGAGACTGCTGTAATGAGAAGAAACAGAAAAACCTAAGTATACAGAATTAAAATGGCTATAAATAAGTATCTATCAATAATAACCCTAACCGTAGGATTAAATGCTCCAATCAAAAGGCATAGGGTAGCTGAATGGATAAAAAAACATGACCCAACTATGTGCTGTCTACAAGAGACCCACCTTAGAACAAAAGACACACAGAGGATGAGAGTGAAGGGATAGAAAAATAATTTCCATGCAAATGGAAAAGAAAAAAAAGCTGGAGTAGCAATACTCATATCTGATGAAATAGACTTTAAAATGAAGGCCATAACAAGAGACAACAAAGATCACTACATAATACTAAAGGGAACGATCCAACAAGAGGATATAACCCTGGTAAACATATATGCACCCAATATAGGAGCACCTAAATATATTAAAATACTTCTAGAGAACTTTAAGGGAGAGATCGACAACAATAGCGTATTTCACAGACCTAGAACAAACTCTCCAAAAATTCATCTGGAATAAAAAAAGACCCCGAATAGCCACAGCAGTCCTGAGAGAGAAGAAGAAAGCTGGAGGGATCACAATACCAGATATCAAGCTATATTACAAAACCACTGTTCTCAAAACTGCCTGATACTGGCATAAAAACAGACATATAGACCAATGGAACAGAACAGAGAACCCAGAAATTGACACACGCCATTATGCTCAATTAATATTTGACAAAGGAGGCAAGAGCATACAATGGAGTCAAGACAGTCTCTTCAATAAATGGTGTTGGGAAAATTAGATAGATACATGCAAAAAAATGAAACTAGACCACCAACTTACACCATACATACAAATAAACTCAAAACGGATAAAGGACTTAAATGTAAGACGGGAAACCATAAAAATCTTAGAAGAATCCACAGGCAGCAAAATAGCAGACATATGTCGTAGCAATATCTTTACCAATACAGCTCCTAGGACAATGGAAACTAAGAAGAAAATAAACAAATATGACAACATCAAAATAAAAAGCTTCTGCACAGCCAAAGAAACCATCAACAAAACAAGAAAGCCCACTGTATGGGAGAACATATTTGCCAATGTTATCTCTGATAAGGGTTTAATCTCCAAAATTTACAGGGAACTCATACAACCTATAAAAGGAAGATAAACAATCCAATCAAAAAATGGGCAAAGGACTTAAATCAGTGGTTCTCAACCTTCCTAATGCCGCGACCCTTTAATACAGTTCCCCATGTTGTGGTGACCCCCAACCATAAAATTATTTTCCTTGCTACTTCATAACTGTAATTTTGCTACTGCTATGAATCATAATGTAAATATCTGACATACAGGATGTATTTTCATTGTTACAAATTGAACATAATAAAAGCATAGTGATTAATCACAAAAACAATATGTAGTTATATATGTGTTTTCCAATGGTCTTAGGCCACCCCGTGAAAGGGTCGTTCGACCCCCAAAGGGGTCTCGACCCACAGGTTGAGAATCACTGACTTAAATAGACACACTTTGAAAGAGGACTTACAGCCCTGACCGGATTGGCTCAGTGGATAGAGCGTCGGCCTGCAGACTGAAGGGTCCCAGGTTCGATTCCGGTCAAGGGCATGTACCTTGGTTGTGGGCACATCCCCAGTAAGGAGTGTGCAGGAAGCAGCTGAATCAATGTTTCTCTCTATCCCTCTTCTCCCTTCCTCTCTGTAAAAAATCAATAATTTTTTTTTTAAAAAAAAGAGGACTTACAGAATGCCAAGAGACATATAAAAACATGCTCGGTACCATCTCACACCTATCAGAATGGCTATCATCAACAAATCAACAAAGGACAAGTGCTGGCAAAGATGTGGAGAAAAAGGAACCCTCTTGCACTGCTGGTGGGAATGCAGACTGGTGCAGCCACTGCAGAAAACAGCATGGAGTTACCTCAAAAAAATTAAAATGAAACTGCCATTTGACCCAATGATCCCACTTCTAGGAATATATTCCAAGAAAACAGGAACACCAATCAGAAAGGATATATGCACCCCTATGTTCATAGCCGCACAATTTACAATAGCTAAGATTTGGAAACATCCTAAGCGCCCATCAGCAGATGAGTGGATTAAAAACCTGTGGTACATCTATATAATGGAATACTACACTGCTGTGAAAAAGAAGGAACTCTTACCATTTGCAACAGCATGAATGGAACTGGAGAGTATTATGCTAAGTGAAATAAGCCAGTCAGAGAAAATAAATAGCACATGATCTCACTCATTTGTGGAATATAATGAACAACATAAACTGATGAACAAAAATAGAGCCAGAAAAAAAATTTTTTAGAAGTAATCCTGTTATTTGCAGATTTCTAATATTTCCTACAACTTTTGTGATATTATACTATGTTAGTATAGTTTTGGTAATATATTTAAAATCTTTTTTTATTGAAATACTAGAGGCCCACTGCATGAAGATTCATGCACTGGGGGGGGGGGGGGGGGGGGCGGCCTTCAGCCCTTGGCTGCGCCCTCTAGCAGTCCTGGAGCCCTTAGATGTTTTGACTGACAGCTTGCAGGGAATGGGCCTAAGCCGTAGTAGTCTGGCCTCCCTCTGTGGGCACCTGCTGGCCCTGCCCCTCCCCCGATCGCTGTCCCCTCCCTCTGCCCACTGGCATTCACCTTGGCTGGCCTGGCGCTGCCTGCTCGCCAGCCCTGCCCCCTGCTGACCAGTCGTTCCTCTGTTTGGTCGATTTGCATATTACGCTTTTATTATATAGGATTAATGTTTATTGCATACAAATGGCTAATTATTTTGTATCTACAATCTGGTAATAGACTTATTTTGTATTTTGAAAAAATAAAATTTCATGAGAGTGAGGATTATGGGCTTGCCATAGAATATGTGTTTAATAAATAGTAGTTGAATGAAAAAAATATATATATAGAAAGTACACAGAGCTATCCAAATGCTGGGCATTAAAAATGCTTATGTGGGCCAAACCAGTTTGGCTCAGTGGATAGAGCATCGGCCTGCGGACTGAAAGGTCCCAGGTTCGATTCCGGTCAAGGGCATGTACCTTGGTTGCGGGCACATCCCCAGTGGGAGGTGTGCAGGAGGCAACTGGTCGATGTTTCTCTCTCATCGATGTTTCTAACTCTCTATCCCTCTCCCTTCCTCTCTGTAAAAAATCAATAAAATATATTTTTAAAAAAATGCTTATGTGGAATGGAAGGGTGAAGAACATTTACCCAACCTCATAAGGATGCTGATTCTTCAGAATGCCTGTGCAGCACCCACTGGTGACAGCACCAGAGGTGGGTGCTGTGTCACAGGAGATCTGGCTCTGCCAGATGTTCTACCCCTGAGGCAGTGCTGGTTTTCTCAGCCCTATCCTCACAGCTGGCCGGGGCAGGAAGGCCCAGGGGTCCTCCGGAAATGAGTAAGTTTGAACCCCGGTGACCAGTGGAGCCCTGTTTTAGCGGCTCCCAAGCAGGACTTGGAGCTTTGATGCCGCAAGCTCTGCCGGCCATGCTAGGAGCAGCTGCCTTGGCCCGTGCTCTGGTGAGGAGGTGGGTCTCTGTGGCCCTTCCTCCTCTGGGAGACCCGTGAGATTAGGACGGCTGCACCCGATTTTCAGAGAGAAGCTCACGAGACATTACCATACACACCATGAACCTTTCAGGGCTCCTGATTAATCTCGGCTGAGAAATGACACCAGGCAAACCCAAGAGAATCAACTAAACACCATCCAATCAAAGGGCTGAACACAAAACAAATCCAGCAACCTGGAGGCTGTTTCCCAAAGTCTGAGTGAGCTCCCGAGGCTCCTCTCGGGAGCACTCTAGCCAAGACCACGAGCCCCCAGGGTTCCACCTGCTGTGGCGGGTGGAGAACTGGGTGTAGAGAACCAGCAGGCTCCGTGATGGACGGCATTTCCTGGACAGCAATCATACCTGAGGTTGACGAGCGTGGCGCTGACATTTCGAATCTTCATGGGGATGGCGGACCCTGTTCCCAGGAAGATGATTTCTGGATACCGGCCTTTTTTCTCTATGGAAAAATACAGATGAAGGGTTCACTTCTTTCCGTCAAATGTGAGCCAGCATTCAGCCCTGACATGAGTAAGTCCCAGGAGGGCCTGGGGTTCCCTGTGGCAAATACCCTGATGGAAGGGCCATCATCAGAGGGGTCACAGGCTGTGGGCAAAGGGCTGTCTGTGAAGCAAATGAATTCCTCAGGCCTTTCTTCCAAAGAATTGCTGCAAGTCTTTCAGTTACAAAGGGGCCTTCCTTGTGCTTGGAATCAGCATGCACCTCCAGGGGCTGGTGTCACCTTGCATCAGCTCCTACCACCAGACCTGCAGCACCCCGCTTCCCAGGACTGTGGGCTCAGGGTCAGCACCAGAAAGGAGAGAGGCACAGCTGGGGCTGAAATCCAGGGCACCTGACGATTCTGTCGCTGGGGCCCCCTCCACCGCCTCGCCAGTCTAACTGGCACCAAGTGCACATCCGAACCAGAAATCCAATCAAACCCAAAGCAAGTCAGTCAGTCTTCCCCAAAACACCAGGAGGCCAGGACAAGAGGTTACTTGCCTGGGACTGAGTAGATTACAAGCCCGCCTTCTACTCCAGCCGTGTCTATTTCTATCATTAGTTAAAAGGACACTGGGGCCCAGCCAGTGTGGCTCAGTGGTTGAGGGTCGACCTACGAACCAGGAGGTCATGTTTAATTTCCCGTCAGGGCACTTGCCCAGACTGTGGGCGAGATACCCAGTGTGTAGCATGTAGGAGGCAGTGGATCAATGATTCTCATCACTGATGTCTCTCTCTCTCTCCCTCTCACTTCCTCTCTGAAATTAATAAAAATACATTTTAAAATAAAGAAAGAAAAGGACACTCCTCAAGGGGCTAGGAAAGCTGAGGAGGCGACGGGCGTGGCCGGAATCTTCGGTGGCTCCTCATTAGCAAAGACAGGACTCGGTCCCCATTCAACCGCGTCCTGGCTCACAGTTCTCCCCGCGCCTCCCAGGAGCTCCCAGAACTGCTGCTCTCGGCATGAGCCCTGGAGAGAGCCCGTGTGCCACCAAGCCTTCCCTTCGCTGTTCCAGAAGGGCAGGCACTGATGTTTCCCAACAGGAAAGAGGGAAGCAGGGGAGGGCACACATTAACCCAGTGGGTGCTGGGCTGGGAGAGGGGCTGCCCGGGTCCCGCCCTCACCGGCTGGGGCTGGGCTGTTCTGTGCGGTCTCCTTATACTCCTGCACACTCTCTTGGAAATTGGGGAGCTCCAGGGCCTCGGCTATGAATTCATCAGGATTGCAAGTTAGAAGAGCGTCCCTGCAAAGAGAAAAGTATTTCAGGCAACTAAAGTTGTTTCAAATCAAGATTGAAGACCAAGTACCTCAGAGTCTGGGCGGTTTTGTTCCGTTGGTGGGAGTCTCAGAGTGAGCTCTGAATAGCTCCAGCTCCTCAGAACACCTCCCAGCTCAGAGCCGGACAACCCTGGCACCACTGACATCTATCTGCTCACTGAATGCTGCCAGCATCTAGACTCCCCTGGAGGCCGGGGAAAGGAGGGAGGCAGGGGAAATTACCCCAAGCAGTGCCTCTCAAACTTATGTGCACACAACTCATCTCCTTGAACCCCGTCAAACTGCAGGGCCTGATTCAGTGGCTCCGGTGGAGCCCGAGACTCATCCCCTGCAGCCTCCGAGTAGTGCTCTGCTGCTGCCTGGCCACGCTGAGCGCAAGCCTCGGAGCAGTGGCTCGTCCGTCATCTGAGCACTGAGATCACCTAAGTGACCTTCGGTCAGCAGTTCAGGAATTCCATTTCCCACAGGTACCAGGTGGGCATGGGTACGGCTACATTTGTTAATCGCAGCTTTGTGAATGCCTCTGCCACTGCAGACAAGCCTCCACCCTGCCTGTCTCTCAGCAGCACACGGCCCCCAACACCCTGGAGCACACACTGCAGAGCGGACAGGCAACGCCAGTGACTCCAGATTCAGGCCTTGAAAACTAAGGATGGGGGGCTGCAGAGCCTTTCGGGACGGCAAGGTGTTCACCAAGTGCTGTCAGGAGCAGCGGTCGCCAACCTTTCGGACTTCACAGACCACTAGTGGTCTGCGGACCACCGGTTAGCGACTGCTGGTCACCAATGTCCCTTGGGCTAAGAACTACCCTAAGGGAACACTTCCAGTCAGAGATCGATACATGAGGCATTTACTGTTTCATTAAAAGAGCCAAAACTTGCGAATGCCTCAATTTAACAAACACCCCTCTATGGACCTCTTGGGAGACTATATAATGACACAGGGAAGACTATATTACACAGTGTCAGGTACTATATATATACAATACATCCCATATACTCCAAGTTAAAAGAAAAAAACTTTGTCAACCACCCTCTCATCTAGTGCTGAAGGGACTTTGGGGGATTGACTATCTTCACGATACAGTTCATATTTCTACACTGACAACAATGAACATGCATCACTGTTCCCAGCAGAGAAAACAACTGCAGAAAGGGATAGTCATGGACGCCACCTTCCAGCTCAACACGAGGTCAGCTGGTTTCAGCAACGCGCTGATCCTGGGGCACAGCCGCACGCCCGCCTGCGGGCTGTCTGTCGCTCTGGCTCGTGGGACAGTGGCAGATGGGTAGTTCCAACAGACACCACGTGGGCAAAGCCTAAAATATTCACTACCTGGCCCTTCCCAAAAACCACCTCCGGCCCAGACCGTCCACAGGCTGAGTCACAGACCTCTGCCACCCCCTCCGGGGCCGGAGCTGGTACTTGAGGAGGCATTCGGCGCGGACTGTGGGCACAGAGAAGGCGGCGCCTTCCTCCTGAAAGAGAGAGAGCACACTCCCTGGAGAGAGAGCAGGGGGAGCGCCCAGGCCACAGGGGCCGTCCTGTGACACTACCTTACAGTGGAGGCTGGCGAGCGGGGGGAAGATGTCAGGGTGGATGAGGTTGAGCTGTGTCTGGATCTTGTGGCTCCGGAGGTTGTGAACGGACGTACACTTCTCATTCAGGATCAGGTGCTGGGTGTCAGGCCCAAACCTAAGAAGGAACAGACTGCACATGCACAGCGTCCTGTAGGGCCTCGTCCTGAGGGGCAGCACTGGGGACAGAGCACCAACATAGACGGAGGTGTTCAAAGAGAATAAGTACTTGTCCAGAAAGACTGTTACTAACTGGCCAGAGTCCTACTACTTCTGTCTCAAAGTCCAGTTTCTCCCCAAACTCAAACCAGAAAAAATAAAACACCAGAAAAAAATTAAAGTTACAATGTTGGGAGCCTACAGCTACAGCCAGGAAACAGAGTGCAGTGCGGACTGGAGAAAAGCCTGAGAGGAAAGAAGTACCACATGTCAGACACAAGACCTAAAGGAACAGGCCGAGGAGGGCCGAGGAGTGAGAGGCGCCAGGCCAATAAGGGAAGAGATGCAGGAGTTGCCGGGAGAACCAGGACAGGCAGGTTGACCCACCACCCAGCGTCACCACGTGCTGCAAATTCAACGCAAATAATTCCCCACTCGATGCTGGCCCAGCCAATGCGGCCAACAGGAAAGCGTGCCCTCCTTCTAGCACTACATTCTGGTAGACCATCTGCCTCACAGGGCTGTTGGGAGGATTAAAGAAAATAAAACAAAATGTAGACTATTTAACACACTGCCTGACAGGGGTGTTTAATAAACTGAAGCTCTCATTTTAAACCCGCAAGTCTCTTCTTAGGCTACACACATGGCATTGTCAACAAAAAGGCAGCGTTTGTTCAGACTCTGAGTGTGTAGAGGGTGTGAGCTGCTGCTAAACGGGCCTCACGCAAGCAGGACATGTGCGCACACGGTGCCCCCTAGCGGTGACACTTTAAGAGGGATGCAGGCGCTGGCTCAGAATGCAGGGACAGCAGGAGTCCCAGGGAAGTCTAGGCAGGCGTGGAGTAAGGGTGGGAGCGCTTAAAGGAGAGGGGAACGTCACGCGTGCTGCTGGGCCAGGCTCCGTACCTCTCCATCCACTGCTGGTACCTGCCATCCGCAAGCACACTCTCCGGGGCCAGGTGAGCCACCAGGGCCACGGGGGCATCGGCACTTCCTTGGAACCTGGATGGGAGGAAGGTGGGCTTTGCTTTATAAAATGACACAACCTCAGAGCACGCACAAAGCAGACTGGGCGGTGAGGGAGGGGCACCACTCGGCTCTGGGGGACCACAGTGAGCCCTCAGCCTCGCGTCCAGGCCGGGCTGTCCCCAGCTGCTCCCAGAGGTGCCAGAGCAGGGCGGAGCCCCAGACTGCCCGGGTCCCTCTATGC